TCCATGGTGCTTTGTGAGTATTTAGGCATGAGAATGGCTCTGCAATGGATTTCAGACTCCTAGAAGACAGAGACCAGGCAAGACATTTATCTTGAAATCATTTATACTACCTCACAGTCAGTAGGCACTTAAGAAATACAGACTTCTTTCGGCAGTTGTTCAGCCTATTCTGAACCCAAAGTACCCCAGATTAAGGGATTTTAACTCCTTTGAGATTTGACAGGAGTAGTGAATTTAAGCTTTTGAGACAGCGGCAGGTGGCTGAGAGTCCTGCACAAACAGGGCAAAATCTTATCTTTATTTAAGGAGGGGGAAGTGAAACCTCCATTTCATCAGTGAACATTTATCTATATTTATTGTCTATTTCTAGAAAAAAATGCTGCTTACCTTTTTATTAATTTATTCACTGGATTTCCCTTTCTGATTTCTTAAGCTTAAATCTAAATAAAGCAACCTATAAAATCTAAGGTCAGATTACATACTAGAAAAGTCACCTACTCTAGAGTCCTGAAGCTGGGATCCAGGGATAGACATTCACAAATGAGATTATCAGAGGCAAATACAGTGAAACTCCATGTAAAATTTTGTGGGCTTTTTTTATAAGTACATTTTTCCACAACAGGGAGAGGGACTATAGCAGTTGTGAGGTTCTTAAAACAGTCTGTGATATTAAAAATATTGTCCATTGTTTTTCAAATCTATCACACTATGAATGACATTCTGGGAAACATTCCATTTTCTTATTAAATGACCTTGTACAACAGGTCCTATTTTAGTGTCACCCCAAAATCTACAGACAGGAAGTTCTTTCTTAAGTCTACCCTAATCTGTCGGCAACTCCTCCCCATGGAAGTCCTTAGTAAATTCTGTGGAAATAGCAAACAGCTGCTCACCAACACCCACCCCAAAGAAAGAACAAGACATTTCTCACATCTCTCAAGCTGCCTTAAATGTTCTTTCTTTGGCAAAGAAGAAAAAAAGAAGTATATTTTTGGCCTCTAAACCTTTTCCCACCCGTGTGTATTTCTGCAAAAATGTTATCCATATGGTTTTGATTGCATTCTCCATAAGTCATTAGAAATGCTTTGCACTGAGAACTTTTCTGATGACCAAGGAGTCTTTGGAGACATTTTAAAATGGCCCTCTTAGCCTTTCTTCATAGAAACAGGAAAGCTAAACAGAGCCAAATGCAAATGAACTAAGACCTGGAAAGTTTGGAGTTTTATTCAAAACTCAGAAACCATAAGGTTCAAGTGTGCCTTAAATCTGTCCATGCAAAGTCATCACCTCCTTCTCCAGGGACAAGATATACTAAATCATCCATTGGCACAGATAATGCAATGGCTTCAGACATTGAAGTTGATATTTAGGATTGGGTTCAGTGACCCTATAAAATTCCAAGAACTTCCAATCATCCCAGGGCTTCCTCATTCCCAGAGGGTAAAGATTTTGGACTTGGACTTAGGTGTGGAATTTCTCACTCCATCACCTACTAGCTATATTTTGGCATGCTACTCAAGTTTTTCAAGGTACAATTTCCTATCACATAAAGATAGGGTAGTATTATCTATCTTATACTGCAAAGAATTTTCAGAATTGTAAGTAATAATATACAGAATATTGCACATAAGATGCTTGGTGCACGGTCAAAGTTCAAAAATTATCTTTCCTCTTTCTGTGTATAGTAGATGGAACTAGGAAGAGTTCTTTGTTTCTTTAGGGAAATATTGATGGTGTGGGTGAGGAAGACAAAGACTGGACAGTGTTTCAAAGCATTAAGTCCCCTCTTTCTAAGGCATGTAGAGCACAGCCCATCTTGGGTAACTGATTACAAAGAAAGGGTTACAAAGAATGAGTCAGGCCCTTTTGTGGCCATCACTGAAGCAGGAGCAGCCAAAATGAAATTCAATCCTGTTGTAACTTCCCACCAAAGCAAGAACCAAAAAACGTGTTTCAATGCACCTTCCCATATTTGCAGGAAGATTATATCTTCCCCTCTTTCCAAAGAGCTGAGACAGAAGTACAATGTGCGATCCATGCCCATGTGAAAGGATGATGAAGTTCAGGTTGTATGAGGACACTATAAAGGTCTACAAATTGGCAAAGTAGTCCAGGTTTATAGGAAGAAATATGTTATCTACATTGAATGGGTGCAGAGCAAAAAGGCTAATGGCACAACTGTCCACGCAGGCATTCACCCCAGCAAGGTGCCTATCACTGGACTAAAACTGGACAAAGACTGCAAAAAGATCCTTGAATGGAAAGCCAAATCTCACCAAGTAGTTATAGAAAAGGGCAAATACAAGAAAGAAACAATTGAGAACGTGCAGGAATAAAGTAATCTTATATACAAGCTTTGATTAAAACTTGAAATGAGGAAAAGAAAAGTTCAAGAAGAAAGAAAAGAAGAAGAAGAAGAGGAGGAGGAGGAGGAAGAGGAGGAGGAGAAGGAGGAATAGGAATCAGTCACAACTTTGGTCTTCATCAGAAGTTGCCGGACTACCATGTCTCAGATTGATTTCAGAACTGCATTATCAGCAGGGCTGCTGTTGCCTACTAACGGTCATGGAAGCAGATCTCAGCTGGGGGATGACGGGGAGACAAATAGAAAGATAGACACAAATAAAGGAAGGAATGAGGTACAAGGAGACAGAAAGAGGGAGAAAAAAGATAGAGCAGGGATAGGCAAGAAATAGTGATCTGGTGTTTCATACTGCGGTGGATGGAGAAGCAGTGTGTGTGGTGGGCGTCTTTCTTCGTGGTCAGAACCAAATTCAGAACTACCTGGGGAACCTGTTGCAAGACCTGAACCTGGGCCAGAAGCCAAGGGAAAGAGAAAGTTGCCCAAACAAAAAGGGAGAAGTTTCCACCCGTCAGAAAGAGAAATCTCTAGGTTGGTCCGTGGTTGGAGAGCTGTCCGTGGTGCTGACTCCTCCTCATTTGGATTCCAGTGGAGACTTGGAGGAGCTCTGCACCATCTGCTGCTCCTCTCTTTCCTCTCGTCTCAGTCCTGACCTCCTGAGACCCAGGATAATTCCTGCTAGCTCTATGTCTTCCCCTCTCTTTCTCCATTCCTCTTTGTCTATTAAATAATTTTTCTCAGGTTCCCAGTTCATCACTCAAACACTTCTATTTTGTTTCAAGGCTCCTTCCAATTAGTTCAGTGGCTCCTAGATTGTTCTAGGCCTCCCTGGTGATCACATCTCCCTCCTATCATCCTTTGAATTAATAAACAAACAAACAAACAAACAAAAAACCATACAGTGGCAATCATAAAAGCAGACAGCATTCACTGAGCACTCACTCGGTGTCAGGGAGCAGTCTGAGTACCTTTGCATACATTAACTCTTGTGCAGTCTAAGTGCCTTTGCAAACATTAACTGATTACAATTCCACATCAACCCTGTTAGATAGGTAGATATATTATTATTCTATTAAACAGACAAGGAATTGAGGCTTAAGGGGTAAGTATTTTGGCCAAGACCACACAGTCACAGGACTCCAACCTCTCTCTAGCCTGCACGTCTACTGGATCTGGCTCTTTATATTTTCCATCATCTTTTCCTATGCCTTCCTGCCCTTCCGTGTGGTCACTTTAATGCTTTCTAGTCTTGCCTCATTTTCAAGGGACTAGGAATCTGCATTGCTGATTTGGCTTAAATCAGAAGGGAAGCAAAGTAAACAAACATACAGAATGTGCACTGTGTGGGAATTTAGATCATACGAGGGCTTTATTTTTCACTTCAGGGAGAGGCCCCATGTTAGGGACCTCTCAGGCTGATTGCGGAGTCTTTTGGTTTTTATTTTCATGTCTCAGTCCCTGTACCCTCACCCCTTCTCCGCCTCTGGTGGTCTCCAGAGAACTTCGCGTCCCCTCAGCTTCTCACTCCTACATCCTGCCTACGTAAAGAAGCTCTTGCTTCATTCTGGGAGGTTATGTGGGCTCTCGCCTACACACCAAGAGAAACAAACAGTGCCAAACACTCACAGAGAGACGTGCAGACACAAGCGGACCCACATGGGCACCTCCCGAGACAAAACCCACATTCGATGGATACACGCGGCCATGGGAACACCCCGGGCCCCAGAAACACTCAGGTACTCGTGGCGCACACAGTACAGTCATGCTCAAGAGCGCCAGGATCCTGGGGTTGCGCAGATACACGGTCTCTTCGGATGCTCGTGCACATAGACACAACACCCGACACCCCCAGACCCACGAAACTCCCCACAGTTCAGCCCCCAGCCCCCTCCTGCCCCCCCTCCAGGCGGCCTCCCGACTCTCCTCCTCTAGCTTCTCCTCCTCCTCCGCCTAAAGATGTACAAAACACTCCTCCGAAGCAAGCCTGCGCTCGGCTCCTCCCTCCCCGCCCCCCGGCCTCTGCTCCCCCATTCATTTTCGGCAGTCGCCGGCTAAGTCCCTCCCCCCGCGTAGCCCGGCCTCCGCTGCTCCCCGCCGGAGACCGCGGCGCACTTGGACTTCCCTCTCCATTCGCCAGCCGCCGTGCTCCCGGTCCCCACGGCTGCAAACTGATCCGGCGCGCGGGGGGAGGAGGAGAGCGCAGGCGAGCGAACCCGCGAGAGAGGGAGAGAGCGAGCAAGAGCGAGCCAGAGCGAGGAGAGCGCCAGAGCCAGGAGGCAGAGGGAGTGGGGACCGCCTTCCGGAGCCGGGATTCATGCCTGTCCTCGGGACCAGCGAAGGGGACTTGACGGCTGAGTATGAGCCAGGCTGCTAGGAGCCAGGTACCCCCACGCCTGCAGTCCCCGCGCCGTCCCCGGAATGCGAGCTGGACGCAGGGCTCTCCCAAGTTCCCACCGAGCCGAATAAAAAGCGTCCGCCCGCAGCTCTCCGCCAAAGACGGACATTGACTCCAGGTAAGGCGGCGCCGGGTAGAGCACCCCGCAGCCCCGCTGCCCTTGGACCCGGCCCCGGACCGCAATCGGGGCACCTCCCGCGCGCCCCGCCCCTCCCCCTCCCGGTACCCTCGTCCGATGGTCACCTGGCCGCCCCGCCGCCTCCAAGTCTTCTCCGGCTCCAGGGAAGGGGTTCCTGCGCCCAGGGCTGGAAGGGTTAACTGCGGGTTGGAGTGAGTGGTGTGTGTGTCCCCGCGCGCTCCCGACGTGTGCACCATGGTGGGAACTTGGTGTGGTGCTAGTGTGAGTGTGCGTGTGCGGCGTCGTTTGCGTTTGATGCGTGTGTTTGTGATGTGTGTGTGTGTGTGTGTGTGTGTATGGGAGGGGTGAAGAGAGAGAGGTTCTATAACCTACTTACGGCGCGATGTGTGTGTGCATGTTTGTACGTATGTGTTTGTATGTGTGCGCTCGTGTGTCTTTTTAATGGGATCTCTCCAGCTTACACGGAATGGGACCCCTTTACTACAAGATCACGTAGTCATCGGGAAACCCACTGTGGACTTCCTCTAGGGGCTCTGGGCTTGGGATTTAGGGAGAATTATGGGGCTGTATGTAGATGACACCTTATTTAGCCCAGCGTTGGTACCCTTGAAGGAAAATTCCTCCAAACGATGGAATCCTGCTACACTGGGACCCACCGCTTAGTATGAAAGAGACATGGCCAAGCCCCGAGACAAATGAGACGCTGTCACTTTAAATTCCACACTGGGCAGACTCCAGGATTCTGATGGGAATTTGGAGACACTGGATAGTGGGTGACAGAGAAAAGGGGAAGTCGGTGTTGGGCTCCTTATCTGGGGCTTGGCAAGTCTGGGATAGGGATCTACCCTGCCTCCCTCTTGGCAATCAACACAGCCCCTCAGGCTTCTGGTGCTTTGGGGGAGGATCTGGGCAAGTTTGCATGGATCCCCCTCAGGGAAAAGGAGAAAGCGTCCTCGGGGACTTGCTTATCCATCACAGTTGCAAAGGGTCTCAGAGGAAATTTCATTTAAGGGCAGCTCTGGATGATATGGAAGGAGATGGATGGGGCACTTTCCTAAGATAGATTCATCTTTCCCCATTTCAGTCAGGGAAGCCCCCAGAGAATCTCTTCCTAAATATGCCTCTCCATGGCTCCACTGGAGTTAGAAGGATATTGGGAGAAGGCAGAGAGGTGGGGGGAGACAGAGAGAGAGAGAGAAAGAGAGAGAGAATTATTTCAGTACTGAGGGAGATCTACGATTTGAAAAGGGGCTGTGAGTGGGGAACTCATGACAGAATGTGGCAGTAATTGACTTAAATTGCTGTCGGTTTGCACATTGCATCTCTCACTTGGCACCAAAATACTGTCAAGGGCAGGTGGGCGGTGGAAGAATCTCAGCCATAAAAGCAGTTTGGGTCAAGGCCCTCTTTCTTGTTTCCTCCACCTCCTGGGAGGCTCTCTAGGTAGGTCCCTCGGCCACCCGGCCTTGGTACTGTTGGGCTTGGGCTCTGGGGCCAGCCATTGATTTGATTCCCAGCTGCCTCTTAAAGGCTTGCCCTACTCAGCAAAAATGCTGAGTTTTACTGCTGTTAGCATGGCTTCCAGACTCAGCAGCTGTTACTTTCTCAAGGTAAGCGGCAGCCGTTCTGCTCTCAGGCAGGGAGGCGAGGAGAAGAAAAGGGCTGTGACACTGGGACACAGCTTTGCATTTAGCTCAGCTTGGAGGGGCCACTGAAAACCTTAGGGGAAAAAAGTAGAAATATACTTGACGTAAAAAATTTACACATATATATTCTAGGAAAAAATCTATATATCTACATATATACACACGCATATATATGTGTGTGTGTGTGTGTGTGTGTGTGTATATATGTGTGTGTATATATATATATATATATTTCTGGGGAGAGATAAAAGCGAACATATTTGTAGGAACCTGCCCTGGTGGGTGGGTACCACCTGCAGGCACTTGCAGACATACCATTCTCTGTCCAGAGGCTGATACCTCAGGCTGAAGCCTTCACACAGCCACAGAAAATCTCCTTTAGGAAAATCATGTCAGAGCAGAGCTCCCTTGATTATCTTGGGTAGGAGGTATTAGGGCCAAGGAGGAGACCCCTTTTGGGGAACTGCCTCCTTTTCTCTCTTTCCAAATTCGTAGACAATTGAAGCTGGAAGGAATGTTAAAGAGCAGAAAGACAGGACTCTGTGGCCTAAAGAGGGAATGAGAATTCCCCAACATTTGGTAGTGAGTTAGTGGCATGCCCAGGACTAGAATCTAGGCTTATCAGCTAGATCAATACCCTTTCTACTCTTCCCATACTGCCTGGGACTGTATACTGCTCACACCCCTGTGCTGCCACCCTGCCACCATGATCCCAAGCCAGACAATTGCTTGTCGTCCCTCATCAAACTTCACATTTTCAGAGCTGGATTTCAAGATTTTTCTATCTGGAAACATGACCCCAAAGAGAAAAGGTCCAATGCGCGTGCACACACACACACACACACACACACACACACACACAGACACATGGGATGGTGGGGGCAGGGAAGAGAGACAGAGAGAGAGAAGGAGAGAAACATCGATTCCTTTTCCAGTATCTTTAGAGAATTACCCAGGTAAGGACTCAGTACTGACTATGACTAGTAGGCAGAACCCAGCAAAGTGTCTGGTCTGTATCTGAGCTTTTTATTAAGAAATGCACTGCTTTCTAGAGAGCAAAATGTACACCCATCCACCAATGCAAATGCTTCGGGCAAATTAATTTCTTTATATTAATTAGAATCTCACCCCTATACATTTCTACATGTTATAGGCACAGGAGCACATGCAAGCACACATGCATAGGTGTGCTTACACACACATGTGGACACAAAGATCCAGAAACTTTTTCTACTTGCTACATTTCCAAAAAAGAGAACCTCCACACCAGATTGTGTTCTCTCATATAAAGCATCTCCCATGTGAAGACTAGGACTCACGAACTCCAGGGAAGGAGAAACGTAAAGCCCTGTGAAAGAGAGACCCTGGAGAAGTCAGAATTGAGTTCACTCAAAAGTGTGCTCTTAGACTTCTAGATAACTCTTTCGGGGTGCTGGCAAGTACTGAAAAACATGGGGGGTTTTAGGCCCATCCGCAATAGAGCCTTTTCCATGCAGGATTTTCCAGGGCTAGATGGCACTTTAGCTCCCAGAAGGGGGAGCTGTGACTCCATTTCAACCAAGGAGAAACGGCTCAGAGATTCCAAATCAGCTGTTGGGCCCCCGTTGAGTTTAGACGACCCAGCTCTGGCTGCAATGAATGCCTTTGCCTCTCGTACAGCCAGCGACTGTAAAAACACCCTACCCTGATCAGTTCAAATTCAACATCTCTTTCTTAATGCATGCAAGAGTTTATGTTATTGATCATAAAGTCCTTTATTTTTCTGTAAAGGTCTTTGCCCAAAGGTCCTTTAGTTGTGCAATGAGACATCTCTTGCTTTGCAACCTCTCTCGTTCCTCCTCCCAATTTCTTAGAGGAAATCACCAGTACATTATCACTTGAACAGGCCATCAAGGTTAGACATACCCTACCCTTCTTTTCCTGCTTTTCCCTTGCTGAAATGCAGCTTAACAAATGGGCTGCTAAACTATTGGAAACCATGTTAAAGACAAGATGGAGGTCATGTGAAAAAGACAAGTCCCTACATGTCATTCTTCAAATAATTTCTCCAGTAGTGCTCCCTTCTGCAAAGACCATCTTTATTATTCTTTCCTCCATGTCCTACATTTGGCCATGACTTTTAACAAAATTCTACCCATATTTCAACGTCTAGCTCAAATGACCCTTCTAAGGAATCTTCTCAATACCTTATTTTGGAATTAATCTCTTTATCACTTGATGTTTGTGTACCATTTTATCTGAAACTCTATTTTAGTTTGTGTCTCCGTTTGCCCTGCTTTATAGCGCCTGGGGTATAGGTCTATCTTACCCTCTTCAGGATGGTCTAAGAAGCATCTTTATATTCCAGGGTCTGACACAGAGTAGTTGCTTTATAAATATTTGCCCTCGCATTTCATGTTGCATCTCAATAGCAGCTGTCCTCTCTCTGTCTCTCACACTTTCTAGCTGACAATTGCTTCATATTCATTTAAAGCAATGCCGTTATGGCATTTTTGCCCATATCAAGAATATGACGATTCCAATGATAATACAGACAGATAAAAATTAGACCCTACTTGGAAGTGAACATTGACTTCCTGTAATCCAAGGTCTTTAGTTTTGTTCTCTCATATAGTCCTTCTTTCCTCTGAGTGGGGCAGATACAGCCCCTTTTACAGAAGAGGAAAATGAAGCCCTGGCTGGATAGACTCCTTGACCAAGGTCACACAACCATCACAGCTAGCATTTGAATCTGTCTTCTTTCCTGCATCATCACTGCTGTTTTCACTGGATCACTGAGTTAATGGTAACTGTTATGAATGACTGGCAACATTGGTTTGTTCAATAGATGCTAGGAATAGCTGGGACGTATTATGAACTCTTTGAAATTGATGGTAGGAAGTTGTCATGGAGCCACTGGATCAAAGAAAACCTCTGAAGGTTTCTCAATAGCCAAACTTTTCTCCATTTTCAGGAATGACAAGTCCTTTTTGTGATACCAATAATGCATGACCGTTCAGTCTCAGTTTTAGTACTTTTAGTGACAGCAAGTTCATTACCGCACAAACCAGCCTATGTCATATTTGAAGAGCTTTGTTGGAATATTTTCTTACTTTGCCCCTAAATCATCCTTCTATCCATGTGTCTCTGAAATTGTACAAGTGTAATTCACTTCCAGTTATCAGTTCTTCAAATATTATGAAAACATAATTATTTCATAACTATTTTCTTTCAGAATAGAGGGAATTGTCTTCACAGCCCTGTCTTCCGTAGCCTCTGCTTGGAGACCTCTTGGCACCCTCAATACTGTCCTAGGGGAATTGTCAAGCTTACCTCACTTTTAGGGCTTACATGCCACAACAAAAGGGAAGGATGACCTGAAATTGAGTGAGGATTTATTCAACAAATATTTATTGGGTGCCTACTGTTTGCCAAACATTGCTGTAGACAAGCTGTCAAATAGAACTGTCAGTGATGATGGACATGTTTTCCGGGCTGTCCAATATGGTAGCCACTACCCATGTATGATTACTGAACACTTGGAATGTCGCCAGTGTTGCTGAGGAACTGAATATTTAATTTAACTTATATTAATTTTTATTTTGATTTACATAGCTATATGTGGTTCGTGGCTACTGTATTGAATAGCGTAGATCTGGACTTTGGAAATGTAGCATGAATGTGGTCTTGTTTCAATGAAGCTCCCACTGTAGTGGAGAGAGATGGATAATCAATGAGTAAACAAATAGATAAGCAAAATAATTTTATTAAATGTCGCACCACCAATTATGGCAATACGCTAGAAAGGAATGTGAATGGTATAATTTTAGATAGAGTAGCCAGAAGAATCCTCTAAGAAAGTGATATTGGAACTGAGGTTTAAATGAGAAGGAACCAGCTATGTGATTTTGTGGGTAAAGAGCATTAGAGGCAGAGAGAAGAATAAAATGGGGTTGGCCAGGTTTGGTAGCTCATGCTTGTAATCCCTGCACTTTAGGGGGCTGAGGTGGGAGGATCGCTTGAGCCCAGGTGTTTGAGACCAGCCTGGGAAACAGAGCAAGACCCCATTTCTACAAACATAGTAATAATAATAAAACCAGCTGGGCACCTATAGTCACAGCTATTTAGTAGGCTGAGGCTGAGATCACTTGAGCCTGAGAGATTGAGGCTGCAGTGGTCTGTGACTGCACTGCCACACTACAGCTGGGCAGCAGAGTAAGACCCCGTTTCAAAAAACAAAACAAAACAAACCACAGCATCACCTCATTGGGACAAGCTGAGGAAGTCCAAGAGATGGACTAGCTGCCAGTGTGGCTGAAGCTTTCAACTTCGGAAATTGACACGAAAGTGAATTAGGAAGGTGGGCAGGGCAGATCACAATGGCCTGTACAAGACAGAAGTTTTGACATCTTTTCCTTGTCATCTCTGGTTGTAAGGCAGAGAGTTTGAGGACTAAGGAGAGTTTGAGAATTGACAGAAGGTCATTGTCAGGTACTCTTGGTGGGTTTTTATGATGTCCATTTTAAATCAGAAATTTCAAGTTTTCTCATTTTAATTTCTAGTCCTGCTCTGAATGTCATACCTTGGAGATACATCAATCTAAATGGTGGAAGAGAAACAAGAGTAGGGGAAATGGATAGAAAAGGGAGAAGAGAATGAATATGTGGGGATAAAGTAATTAAATGGAGTCTTGTGAAAAAGGATGAAAGCTGGAAGTGTTCACTTTGAATCAGCAAATATTTATTGCCTCTCTTGTCTTGGAAAGGCTTTGGACAAAGTGACTTGGGCGTTATGGTGATCAATCTTGCTAGGGGCTGACAATCTAATAGTACAGATCTGCAAATTTATAAATAATTATTCATGATAAATTGATAATTGTCACTTCAGAAGGTCTGGGAGACTTTTGGGTAAGGGAAAGTCTAAAGGAAGACACATCAGTCGTGATAGTGGTGAGGAGGATGTCGACGGTAGCTATAAGTCTCAAGATCACAGGCTGTATCTTTTTGTTGTATATCCCCATTAATTCAGAATTTCATACAGTAAGAGCACAGGGACTCAGGGTACTTGATTCCAGTCCTGGCTTCTATAACTATATATTTAGACCTCCTTAAGAGCATATCTTTCTCTTTCCAGGCTTGCCTTCTGTAAATTTAGAAGGACCCAGCTGTGGCTTGCTTCA